CCCCCCTGCTACCCGAACGGACACCAGTTACACCCACCCACCGGCAGCCAGACTCTTGGCCGGCGAGTTTGCCCTCGGTTCTCGGGAAATGGCGAGGGCGGCCGAGGCACCACGATTGACACCCTACACCACAGAACATCAACAAGAGGGAAGGTCCGCACACGGCCAGGCCTAGACATCGTCCAACCTCGGCACGAAAAGGGGGGGGGGTGTACTCATAGTCGTGCATGCCGTAGTCGTTAGACCATTGACCTCGCATCCCTACAAAGCCGGGACGGAGCACGCCGGGTTCTCACCGGACCAGGCTGGGGGGGGCGAAATCGGCTCCATCCAGCCGAGAAATTCCCCCGAACATCCAGCCAGCTACTGGTCTTATTTAATCTACGATGCCACGCAACAACACGCATCGTCCCGCCCTCACCTTCGATACTACTGGGCCCCCGACAACAAAATGGGAACCCCTTCACCCCTTGAAAAACAAAACAGAAACCCCTCCCCCCATCAGACAGCGAAAAATGCAACACACAGCAGAGAGGAAACCAATGATAGTGACCCCCCAATCTCCTTTAAACGTTCGTTTGGGGCGCATGCATACCGAAGCAAGGTGGCCGTACTCATTCCTCCGTCTCTCCTCAAGCTCGCCAGCCCCCTTCGCCGCCCTCCAGACCAAGCGCGCGCCGCGCGTAGGCTTCAGACGCTACACTCGTAAGCTTTTGGGCGATCGGTCGACACGCCGGGAAAAACACAGCACACGGCGGCCAAACGGAAACGACACACAAGACCAACGACCGAGAATGACTTCGCTGCTTCCATCTGGCTGCTGGAAGTTACGTGCGAAAACATCGCAACCGCCCCGCAAACCGATACCACAGGAATAGTGTGCCGTTGACCGCCGAATTCCCCACCTTCACCCCACCGTTCTTTGTTCCTCATCGCACATCACGTTCGCGCAAAAAGCTACAAAAAATGAACAACAACGATGGCCCCTTTTATCTTCCCTTCGCGTGTCTTGCGTTTGTCGAGCGTACAACAAGGACGCCCCAAATCATCCAGCCCCCCCTCACCCCCTTACCAACTCTCTAATCTCTCCTCACACCGGTAATAAAAATCCATAAAAATCAGATCAGCTAAAAACGAAAGAATCCACTCTCAGATGCGATCCGTCTCACGTGGCGCCATAATGGGCGGGTGCGTTCGTACGGTGGGGTGTGTGTGCGTCATAGCGAGAGAGGATTGATTCTCTTCTCGCCTTCACGTGCGAGCAAGATCAGACCCACAGCCAGGATACCTGCCTATTTATCTGACCCGCCTCGCAGACAAAAAGACCGACGAAAACACGCCGCCGGCGCCACGGAATCCCCCCCCCCCC